CCCCCCCCCCCCCCCACCGGCCAGGTTTCTGCTCAGTTCTGAGTTGAACTATAATAACATGTAGCTGAAACTCGAATATTTGATAGGTGCTTATCAAAGTGTTTAATATCATCGTGTTTTTAGGCATTTTATCCAATGGATAATGTGACTACCATTAGAAAGGGAGATATCTTGGTAAGCTATATTATATATATTAGATAATATAAAAGACCTTCAGTGATTGTTACTTAGGTGATCAGTAACAAGATAAAGGGCTCCAAAGCTGAGATCTCGATCCTGAAAACGAGGCTTTCTAGTCAACACTGAGTACTTTACGGAAGTGTGTATTGCAACTCATCAACTCTCATCCTCCTTGACCTGGGCTTAAATATGATGTGTGTTTTTTTTGTTTAGGCTGCAAGATGTACGTATGACACTATAAACAGTGGGAAAACACATGCAACTAGAATTGGGTTAGTACATAAATTGAGAAAACCCCAAATATGATACGGTTTATTCTAAAGTACTCTGTTGCGCTATCCAGTTTGTTTTTGCGATTTGTGTGTGATTGGTATATAGTTTATAAAAACTCGTTTCTTTTATTGTCAGTTCAACAGCCTCAGACGAGATGTGTAATTTTTACATGATGTACTATCGAGATGCAAGCAGTAATATCGAAACGCCTGAAATATGTGCACAGCAATATACATACGCGAGTCTTTACGATTCCTTTCCGAATGGTTCCGATGTTGCCCTTCACTCTGGCCCAGGCCATCATCACCACCACCACGGTCACCAGAGCAGTCTAGAGGGGGATGACGTCACGGATAGTAATGACGTCACAAACGTTGATGACGTCACAAATGTTGATGACGTCACCGACCGCGATAACGTTCCTACTGGTAATGATGTCAAAGGGAATGTGAAAGGCGTCACAAGCAACAAACCCACAGTCCAAACCACGAATTACCAACAAGCCCGAGAATCAACCAATGGGAACCCAACGACAGAAACTACACAACCCTCGCAAGTGAAAACTTCACGTTCTGTTACACATGACGTCACTAGTGACATCACAACAAGTACGTCTGTTTCCGAGCAGACTACGAGACCCTCCGATCTTGTGCAAGATAAAAGCACCAGACTGGACTTGAAAGTATCCACTAAAAATGGTCCTCGAACTACGAGATCAACCGAGGAATCAAAATCGAGCCAACCGTCTCTTGACAGTGACAAACGTGGACATCAGTCGCAAGTAAAGACCTCCGAAAACAATGAGAGGACGATGTTTAATGTCTCTGTGGTAGACTCGTGGCCGTCTGCTGTTACTGAAGGCCTGGGGCAAGTGACTGGTTTAGCTGTGGATTCCGCTGGTCGATTGTTTGTGTTTCATCGCAGTGAACGTATCTGGGATTATGAGTAAGTTGAGATTTATAAATTTATGGGTAATTCGTCGATATAGCTTTGGTATATGCAGAGTTATCAGGATTATTTTTCGCTCGTAACCTTCACTCGAAATGTTCATCACACGTTTTAATATATGTATTTAGTATATTCATAAAAGTCTACAATCAAGTGCAAATGCTGTAATTTGATTGGCTACTCTACTCGCTATCCATTTCTCTATAGATGGCGAGTAGCAAAACAATCATTTTCCTGGTTCTGAGGTCTCTGCGGAATATTTTATGTTTGATCTCTGATTCTACTAAAACAATTAAATTACGATCTCTCGATTGCTTTGAGGTGATATTTGATTCGGGTTTCGCCCTCATCAACTATCACCTCATAGAAATGTCGAGCTCGTAATCTAATTGTTAAATAGATCTATGTATACTGGATACAAAACTGTTATTTTTCACAGTACGTTCAATGAGGACAACTCGTTCCGGAATCCGAAACTCCGCGGTCCTATCCGCGGTCCCACCATCTGGATATTGGATGGTAGCAGTGGTGATGTGCTGGAGAAACATGGTGAAAATATGTTTTATTTACCGCATGGTTTAACCATCGACCATCAAGATAATGTGTGGCTCACTGATGTTGGTCGTCATCAGGTAGGAACTAGATAGTCAGGAGCCAAGCCTGAATTCCCTATAAGGGACATATGTATTTTGACAAACCTGTAGCAGACTTGTAGCATTGATGTGTTCGCATTGCTTGTTCCCAGCTTGTTGACAACTTGCTGCAAGGTTGTTGAGCTCAACTGACTTGTTACAAGTTGTTCCAACAACTTGTTATCGTCCTGCAATTCAACAATTTGTCAACAAGTTGTGAGTGACAAATTTGCAGCAACTTGATAAAATAACAGCTTACAACTTGTTGACAAGCTTGCTACAAGCCTGTTGCGAACACATCTTGTTGACAAGTTGTGAGATTTTCTCGTGTGTAAGTGGATAGTTGGGTCAAGTTACTAAGGAAAGAAATGACTGATTAATATTTGTTTTTTAATTCTAGGTGATGAAATTCCCGCCTGGCGAATTCGAGAAACCAAGTCTAGTTTTGGGTGAAAATCTTGTCCCAGGATCAGGTTTCAAACATTTCTGTAAACCTACTGATGTGGCGGTGGAGAAATCTGGCATCTTTTATGTTTCGGATGGGTAAGGCATACAGTATCGGGGAGTGGCCGGGGTCTGTGTTTTTATACGATGTGGTCGACTACAAATCATAGCCTATTAAGATATGATAGTCTGGAAACTATCCAGAAGTCATTGTGCCATGTTTTTGACAGTATGTTAATTTGTGTACATTCAGGGTGATTGAGCTCATTGTATTTTCGTATAATGAAGTAATCATCCAATAGGGATAGCTGAGATGAAACGTGCAACCACGATGAATCATATTTAATGAAATTGAGACAAAAGATTTGTGCGTGGTGAGGTACAGTTCAACATCAAACAAAGCTCTTCTATTTTGTGACTTTGAAATCTGCTGGGCTTCCAGACCATCATATCTTGACAGACTATACAAATGTGTTGACACTGATAGGACAATGTCAGACAAATGATTTTCTTTCCATCAGAAATGCCTTGCTTCAACATTTTAAATTTTTTTTTTTCAAGATACTGCAATGGTAGAATAATGAAATTTTCACCAGAAGGTGGTCTTATGAAAGTATGGGGGAAACCTTCGCTTCGAGGTTGTATGGCAAGAGATATACACAGCTAGTCTTGAGCAGTTAGTGATACTACTGTTCCCAAATATTAATAAATTTATCATTTTCTATGCTTTTCCTAGATCCACTTCCAAGTACGTTCGACATACCTCACAGCCTGGCTCTGAACGCGAAACGAAACATGCTTTACGTTGCTGATCGGGAGAATGGCAGAATTCAATGTTTTGATTCTGAAGGAAAATTTCATAAGGAGATTTCTTCTCCAAAATTCGGAGGTCTCGTATTCGCAGTCGACTTCAATAAACAGGGTAAGCTACTACAAACATTTCACTACAGTCAAATCCTGCGAACACATTTGAAATCTCAAATATGTGGTTATTGTAATAATGTAACATTTGGACCACGCTGCGTTGTGTTTAAGTTGTGCTGTGTTATGTTGTGTTTAAGTTGTGCTGTGTTACGTCATGTTGTGTTTAAGTTGTGTTGTGTTGTGTTCTGTTGTAACTTGTAACTTGTGACGTGTGTTGCTGTGTTGTGTTGTGTTGTAGTATAGACCCATTGCACTGACATCACAAATCCTTAGAGTTTATTCCAGACGCTCCCTAACAATATCTGTTCGGTTACAACAATCACATACTGCGCAAAAACTAACCATTTTAATACAAAATTATTATAAAGTTTTACAAAATTTGCTTTGTTTACAAAAGTTATATTATGCATAAATTGCTAATTTGTCCTCCAGATGCATCGTCACCGGCGCTGTGACGTCATGAGCAATGGGTCTATTGGTTGTGTATATCTAAATCATATTTTTACTCTAATATAGATGACGTTCTGTACGCTGTGAACAGTGGAGGGGAAGCCAAGGTCCAAGGATTTACGATCAATCCAAATACAGGAAAAATCATTGCTTCCTGGAGCCCTCACGGTCAGGTATGAATAAACGCTTGCATTTGATTTACTTAGAGAATTTGTTTGCCTTGAAATAGAAGAGTACGCGGGTTCTGATACAACCGTAACATGGATACATTTAATATATGCGCGTTCTATATATTTTACTGTAGGGTTTTTCTCAGCCTCACGCTGTCGTTTCAAATGGTTCAAGTATTTACGTTGCCGAGATCGGTCCAAACAGAGTGTGGAAATTTGAACACCAAAGTCCAGGTTAGCTCTCGATATATACTTCCTTGTGGCCGTTTAAACTAAGTCCAAACTATTTTTTCTGTCTTTAAAGGCACAGTTCAGCCTTTTGAACGATGGTTTTTAAGGCGCATTTCAGCCCTTTTAATTGAAAAAACTAACTAGGAAAATCAAGTATAATTCAAAATCAGTAAACTCGATGTTTTTAACAATAAAAATGTTTTAAAATGTTAAAAACATTGAGTTTGGTGATCTTGAATTATGCTTAATTGATTTTCCTAGTTAGTTTTTTCAATTAAAAGAGCTGAAATGCGCCTTAAAAACCATCGTTCAAAAGGCTGAACTGTGCCTTAAAACACAGGCCTGAGGCATTTCAGTTGATTATCTATTGTTTTTAATGCGTTCGGCACATGAGAAGCGCGACGTTTGAAACAGGCCACAGTTTTTAAACTGTCGTACAGGTAAGATGAAGAGTGTGTCTAAGAAATAGAGGAAAACAAGTTCAAATTTTCAAAAACGTTTTTGAGTTTTTTTTTAAGCTTTCTGGAAATGCAAAAAAATGAGTTAGGCAAAAAAGTTAGTAAGCTGTCGAAATGCTATGATTAATTAATTTAGGCTACGTTTCCAGTTTTCCACTATACCAGATAGCTTTCCATAGCGGCGCGGAGAAGCACCTATCCGATACGGAATGTACAACTTTCAGAAGCTGAGCGAAACAACATCTCTACGTTGCAATAATTCCTCTGAAAATAGCGTTCCTAAAAGGTACGGAGAGGTGTTTTTTCACGTCGCTACGGGAAGCTATCCGGTACAGGGTAAACGTAGCCTAATTATTTCAATATTCACTCTCCTATAGTTTCACCAAAAGACCCGAACTTCGCTCGCGAACTCAACGCTGCTGTCCTGGAACCGAATCCAACACAAGATTCTGACGACGCTTATACGGACAAGCACGACAATTTTCGAAAGAAGCCCGAACCTAGCAATCGCCCTGGCTTGATAATATTAGGGATACTAAGTGTCCCTGTTTTGATACTGATCGTGGTTGGTTTGGTAAGTAGAGTAACCCGGCGTAACCGCAGTTTACCCAAGTATGATATGATGGATGCCTCCCTGGGGAATTACTCGGTTCCTAGAGATTGGTGCAATTCTATGAATTGCTGCAATAGACAATATCGTAATATGGAGGAGCTTTATCTCATGGACAGCGACAGTGATTTGGAAATATACCCCGATGTACACGTGGACAGAAAGTGATCGGTGCATGATTGGCATATAAATTCCCGTGGTGGTTTGAATTTTTGCCATACACACCGACACGTAAAAATCTCACAGCTTGACAACAAAGATGTGTTTGCACTGCTTGTTCCCAGTTGTTGGCAAGTCTGGAACAACTTGTTATCATCTTGTATGTATCAATGTTGCATGATGAGGCCAACTGACTCGCAACAATTCACTGCAAAAAATGAAAAGCTTATTTTAAGAAAAAAAAACTTGTTTTGAGCAAAAATTTCTTAATTTAAGCAAAATTATCTTGTCCCATACATAGGAAAATTTTTCTAGATAAGATTTTCTTGATCGAGAAAAATTTTCTTGATTTGAGAAATTTAATCTTACCAAGAAAAATGATTTAAGATAATTTTTCTTTTTGTCCCATACATAGGAAAATATTTCTTGGCTAGAAAATTATTCTTGATAAAAGAAAAATAATCTTACAAAAATGGAACGAATCTTATTAAAATCTTAGCAAGATTAGTATTAATCTTACCAAGATAAATATAAATCTTATTAAGATTTTTGAAACAAGAAAACTTATATACACTTGCTTGAACTTAAAAGATAATTTTTCTCAAACCTAAGATTATTTTTCTAAAGACAAGATAAATAATCTTCAGGTAATGATATAACCTTTCTAACCACTTTATACCAAGTTAAATTTTCTTGAAATTAAGTTTTAAATCTTGAAACAAGAAACAAAGCCTTGCGTCAAGAGTCAAGAAATAATATCTTCATTTAAGAAAAACTAATTTTACATGTTTCTCAACGTAGAAATAATTTCTTAAACCAAGATAACTATTCTTAAAACAAGAAATATAATCTTGATATAAGAATAATTATCTTAAATTAGGAAAAAAAATCTTGCCAAGTATTTCATTTTTTGCAGTGAAGTTGTTCCAACAATTCTGATATTTTTTCTTATTCTTATATTTTTTCTTATTCTGATATCAATCCCAGCAGTAATATTGTTTGACTTTCTCTATTCAACAACTAAATTGCAAGTGTTGTGAGATTTTTACTTGGGCCTTAAAATATCGGTCGGTCACGGATATTGTTCCCCCGTTCGTGAAATTGTCCGACGTAGAGAGGAAACCACTGGACATTCTGTCCGACCTAAGTGAAACTGAGGTTCATTGAAATGGTATCCGAATTATCTGTAACGTAAATCAAAATGTACCCTTAGTCCAGGACTAAATGGAGAATCAGAGTAATGTATAAAAAGTGAACTGAAAATGTGTAATCAAGTACTGGGGTTTTCACCGTGAGGTTCGGAAATTTATTGCTAAGATTCAAATGACTTTTCCAAATACAAATTCATCAATACATATGTCCGACCCAAACTTAAAGTAGTCGAACATTTTGTCAGACGGTTCTCTGACCGATATTTTAAGGCTGGAATTTACGTGTGTATGTCATAGATATAATATATCTATGGTGTATGTACACAGTTACACAGGGCTGTGGGCGAAAATTTAAACCGCCTCCAATAATGTACACTATTATGCGCTTGTTGATATTACGGATTTTTGAAAGCCTTCTGGGAAGGCGTAACTGAATAATAATGCTTGATTGCAGTTTAATATATTAAAGTTTATATTGCACGAACCATTTGTGCCATCCAGTCATGATTCACTGATCAGATTGTTCCGTTGTCTTTTCATTGTTTCGAAAATATCACTGTTCTCCATGCCATCCAGTCATGATTCACTGATCAGATTGTTCCATTGTCTTTTCATTGTTTTGAAAATCTCACTGTTCTCCATGCCACCAGTCACGATCCAGTGATCTGAATGTTCCATTGTCTTTTCATTGTTTTGAAAATCTCACTGTTCTCCATGCCATCCAGTCATGATTCAGTGATCAGATTGTTCCGTTGTCTTTTCATTGTTTTGAAAATCTCACTGTTCTCCATGCCACCAGTCACGATCCAGTGATCTGAATGTTCCATTGTCTTTTCATTGTTTTGAAAATCTCACTGTTCTCTATGCCACCAGTCATGATTCAGTGATCAGAATGTTCCGTTGTCTTTTCATTGTTTTGAAAATCTCACTGTTCTCCATGCCACCAGTCACGATCCAGTGATCAGATTGTTCCGTTGTCTTTTCATTGTTTTGAAAATCTCACTGTTCTCCATGCCACCAGTCACGATCCAGTGATCTGAATGTTCCATTGTCTTTTCATTGTTTTGAAAATCTCACTGTTCTCTATGCCACCAGTCATGATTCAGTGATCAGAATGTTCCGTTGTCTTTTCATTGTTTTGAAAATCTCACTGTTCTCTATGCCACCAGTCACGATCCAGTGATCAGATTGTTCCGTTGTCTTTTCATTGTTTTGAAAATCTCACTGTTCTCTATGCCACCAGTCATGATTCAGTGATCAGAATGTTCCGTTGTCTTTTCATTGTTTTGAAAATCTCACTGTTCTCCATGCCACCAGTCACGATCCAGTGATCTGAATGTTCCATTGTCTTTTCATTGTTTTGAAAATCGCACTGTTCTCCATGCCATCTGGTCAGTCATTGTTTTGACATATTTTTAACATTTTCAAACGTAATTCAGTACAAAAATTATTTTGACAAAAAGGTTCAACAAGCTTGGGTATTCGGTATGCAGATTATCGTGCAAATTTTAGACCATGCTCTTCGCGAAGGTAATTACCTGTGAATATGGTTTTGAATATGGGCAAGATACGAAATAATGTTGTCTTAGTCTGGCGAAATGTGGCCAAAAAACTATGAAAGAACTACTGTTTTGTACACCAGTGAAGCAACTTTAAGTGTATGTTGTCTGAGCTGAGTGTATAAGCTAAAACACCGGCTTGTTATTGCTTTTTTGTAAAGAACTTGTTGAACAACACACAAAATGGGTGGCGTCGCCTGTCTGAAAATTGGTGAAAACTACAACGTTTTAATATACATATTGCTTTTGGTATACACATTGCATTATTGGATTCGACTAGGAAAACATAAAGGCAGTTCCAGATGTACGGCGTTTGGTCAATAGTATATACCTGTGGTTTTACCAGATTTATGGAATATGGTATTTGACTTTGTGCTATTTCCGTGATGTGCTCAAATAATTCTGGTTATGGCGGTACAATTATGAAGGTAAAACGTTTACTAATATTTCTACTGTTTATGGGTAGCTTTAGCGAGGGTAACAGCATATGGCAATCAACTTCAGCAATATTCAGTTGATAGAACAAGCAAATTAAACTAAATCTGCCTCCAGCCATAGTTCCAGTTCAATATATGAATTCTGCATTACGGTATTAAAATAGAACGAAGTCACATTTATTTTCTCATTGTGAAGCTTTCATTTCCGGACTGTGTTGCTTTATGTGTTGTGTATCTTGTTTCAATTGATATTCGATGCGTTTCGACTGTGAGACATGTCGGTCATCCCTAGACTAACTAGACCATAATATATTTTGCTCGTATTTTAGTCCTAGAAGTTTAATTGGTGTCTAAATTAAACTAATACCTAAAAAAGATAGCTATATCCTGAACAGTAGTTGAACCTATCTGTGGTTGAACCGTAGCAATTATTTTTTCAAACTTAACGGGTTATAGAGTGGATTAATTAATCCAAATTTAAGTGGATTAAATTAATTTAATTAAATATCAAAACACAAAACCTAGATGGATAAATGTGGATAACAGGTGTTAACTTCAACCACACGTGGTTTCCATAGTAACGATTCGATTACCTAATTAATATTCATCCCATTTGTCAAATGTCAAACGACAAAACAAACGGATGGATTTGAAAATTTAAACAAGGATTATTTCTGCTTTATTCTGCATTATTTCTTTGAAATTTATAAGCAATTTATAAACCGTTATGTCGACATTCCGATTACCTACATTAAAATATGAAAATGGAGAAAACAGCGATGAAAGTCCGTCGCAAAATTTGGAGAATGGCCATTCGAAGTCAAAAGAGCAAGAATATTTTTTGAAAACAAGGAACGATTCAGAAGTATCCTTTGCGGAACAAGAAACGACAGATTCGTGCGAAGACGAACCGATGTTAGAAGCTTTGGATAATTTATCAGACCATGAATTAGACGAACTTTTGGGCAAAGCTTTGGCGCTGAATAAAAGATTAAAACAACATTTAAAAGATGAGAGTTTGTCAGGCGGAGTGAAAGCGCAAGAAAAGGGGACTTTAGATATGTCGAGGACAAGAAATACTGTAGTTTTGCCGCCCATTGTTAAGAATGATAGTGCAATGTCTACAAGACTTAGGACAAACAGATAATAGAATTTGGAAATATTTAAAATTTACTATATTAAATAGAACTTATACAATCATCAATAATATTGATTGGCTAGATTATTAATTAAAGGGCAGATAATCAAAAAGACATACATATCACATCATTAAATACACATTGTGGTCGAAAGGCATCGTATGTGTGGCAAATCGTCCATCACTATATATAGTATTATCGATATACAAACCAGCTAGAATCTATTATTTGTATATGTAAATCATTTGTCAAGATGAACTACATTTACAAGCTTGTTTGTATTGATGCCTATGCAGATTGGGGTTGGCTGGGCGGTTTTGGGTATAGTGTATCTAATGGGTTTCAAATTCGGCTATAGGGTAAATTTACATTGAAATAATTTTGGGTATTTGGTATATTTAACCCTGCCATCCTACAGGGTGACCCAATGTTTGTCTTAATTGATAGCTGAACCATCTGTCCAAAACAACTCCAAAAAATTTGCAATTGCTATAGTCTCC